CTTTCTGCCTTCGCCTCCTGTCCATCAGGAGAGGGCCGTTCATGGGGCCAAGGAAGCAAGACCACACCAAACTTGAGCTCTTTGTACTCTCTTCTGATATTAGCTGGTGGTCTAACCCAGAACAAGTTGTTCACCTCATCTGGGTCCCCATTTCCTCATCTTCCACTGGGGAAGTCGGGTGATGATTCTCTCTGAGGTCTCCCCAGTTCTGACAGTCTGCAAAATTGATAACACAGGGACACAGGGCCAGAGCTTACCTCTGGCTCACTGGGTAGTCTCAGGTAAGCTCCATCCTTTCCCGACCTCATGTGTGCTCCAAACAAGAGTATAATTTAAGATCACTCACTGAGGTCTATCCCTGGAAATCTCTTTTTCTCCTATTCTTTGGGATATCTATCTTTCTTCAATAGCTTCCTCTAGTTCAGTATTATGTACAGTCTGATGAAGCATTCTTTTCTTTTTTTTTCTTTTGTCCTGATCTCACTGACAGTTTACAAAAAACGTGGGGGCTTTTGTGGAAGAGGATCTGACGTTCCTGGTTCACAGGAGACTTTTGAGCATTGGCTGAGGGGAGACTGACAGGTCTTATCTCAGTTCCAGCTCCCGTCCTGAGTGATGGCCTGTTCTGAAAGGTTCATGAAATTTAGAGAATTCACAGAAGCTGAGTGCCCAGAACATGAGCTCACTGGATCAGTTATTGAGCAAGCAAATGAGCCACCAGAAACACTGGTCCAGCCGGCAGGAAGAGGCCCCAGAGAACTTGGAAACTTTATGCAATCAGATGTTTATAACTAACAGCCCAAGTGAAAGGAAAAGAGGTGGAATGAAACTTGTCCTATGCCTTACTACCTATTGAAAGAAAAAGACCTAAATATTCTTGGCTGTCTTTTTTCTTTGGCTTTTAGAAATTGCCCTCTTTGGGGTAAATCCCAGCCTGACTGAGCAGTCAGTGACAATTAGCTGCAGCACAAACAGAGCTGGATGGAGGTATTTGCACTCTAATAGGATTGTGGGGGGAAGGTTCTGGATCTTTAGATATGAGTTATGATTGGTTAACTTACATTCTCAACTCTTGTCTTCCTCTCTCTCCAGAGAAGTTCTGAGCTGAATTGTGATTAAGACTGGGCACACCTAGGCAGATCAGAGTAAGCAGGAATCTTTCCATCTTGGTCCAGAACAGCTTGGCAGCAGTGACTAAAAAGTTCGTTGATTAACTGGTTAACTGATTCCCAGCTTTGTTTCAGGAAACAAAGACTTGGAGGAGCAGGGAAAAATAAAACGTCAGCCTAGGGAAAGGAGGTTAAAGTTTAGGATCGTTGACAGTATTTGTGACCAGGGCCTGTGACTTCTTTTTCTTTCCAAATGTCTTTCTGATGTACCCCTTGCTCTGTTCCCACTGTAACTTGGTCCTTTTGCCACACGTGTGGGCATCTAAAACACCCCCATGAATTCCTCCTCCTGCTCTCCCATCTGTCGTGCACATGGCTACCCATTCGGTTTTCTAAAAACACTACTTTCGTCAGTCACTTGCTTGCCCAAGAACCTACTATGGCTTTAGAGTTACTGCTGTATCGAGATTAAACTCTGCTTGGTTTCTGAGATGTTCATAATTTATCCAGCTGGCTGTGGTTCCCTCTCCTACCCTTGTGAGCCCTCTCCCAGTCAGACTGAGCCTCCCCTCTGGCTCCCTCACCTGGCGATCCAGGTCCTGCCTAGACCTCGGCTTTTCCATCAGTCTCAAACGCACCTCCTCCTCTCGCTCTATCCACATCCTGCTGTCTTTCCAAGCTCACCCTTCTCATTTCCTGCAGCCACTGGTTACTGTTCTCTTTGCCCCATTCTTCCTGCTGTTGTGGTTTTCTCTCGTTCCCCCACCTGACACGCGCATTTCCACTTGGCAGTACGAGCACTTTTGATTGCCCACTCTGTGCAGAGCAGTGTGCCACATCTTGCAGAGGATTCAACGATGAGTATGAAAAGCAGTAGCTACAGTTGGTTGAGTATGAACTACGTGTCAGGTGCTGTGCCTTAACCACATTACCTCTCGTCTTCACAAGCATCCACCAAGAGGTTATGATTGGAGAAGTGACAAATGGGGGAAGCAGTATAGTTGAGGTGAAATTTAGAGAAGTGACATCCACCAAGAGGCTTACAATTGGTGAAGTGACAGAATGGGGAAAATAGTATAGTTGAGGTAGAATTTACAGATGCAGGCATGTAAGTTAATATGCAACATATGGGGAGGGGAGAAAAAAAAGAGAGAGAATCTAAGAAATTGGCATTTGCCGTTAATACAAGTAAGGAAGCTTATAGGAGAGATAGGCTTTGAAGGAAAATTAGTTTAATTTGGCCATTCTGTGTTTTAGGCAATAGTATATCAACTAAGGGACGTCCACCAAGAAGTTGCAGATACAGTCCTGGAACTAAATTGAGTTGAGTCGTTATGTGTTAGTTGTCCCAGCTGGATTAAGGACAGGAGCTTTGTGTTCATAAAATTTCAGAGTGGGAAGTACTTTAGAGTACATCAGTGATGAATAGATAAACAAAATGTGGCATGTCCATGCAATGGAATATTATTTGACCTTAAAAGGGAATGAGGCACTGATACATGCTACAACATGACGGCTAAGTGAAGAAGCCAGTTACAAAAGGTCACATATTATGTGATTCATTTATACAAAATGTCTAGAAGAGGTAAATCCACGGAGACCAAAAGTAGATTACTGGTTGCCAGAGCCTGGGGAGAGGGGAGAATGCTAATGGATATGGAGTGAATAAATATTCTGGAATTGTTCGGTGGTGATGAAAATATTCTGGAATTGGATAGTGGTGACAGTTATGCAACCTCGCAAATATACTAAAAGCCATTGAATTATACACCTTAAATGGATGAATTTTGTGGCATGTGAATTATATGTTTAAAAAAATTGGAGAAAATAATGTACCTCAGAGGTCGCCTACCATGTCGCCATCCAAGTAGTTCAATGCCTTCATCCATCCTCTACTTACTCTGGAGATGCTCACATATGTCCTGTCATAGGGACTTACTCACTCACGCAGCAACCCATTCCATGTTTTTGGACCCCTAATTCCTACATGTAGCAGAGTGGATAAAGAACACAGACTTTGGACATTAAACAGCCCTGCCTCTGCCACTTACTGACTGTGCGACATTGGGCAAGTTAGTTAATTTCACTAAGGCTGTTTCATCATCTACAAAATGGGGATAATAATATCACCACCTCATAGGGTAGTATTGATGACAGTGACACAATTCCTGTAGAGTGTATAGTGCCTGGCACATAGTCAACACCTGATAAATGATAACAATTAGCTGTTTATTACTTCTCACCTGCCCTTTACTATAACATCAGATACCTAGTGAGTGTAGGTAACACAAAAACTTTATGTTTTGGTTGTCAATAGTCCTGAAAGTCTGCAGCACCTAAGTGAGGAACACAGGGCAATGACATTGTTGGAATAAGTTGTAAAAATGTAGTGTTTGTTAGTGGTTTCATTTTTTAAGAATCTTGATAGGATCTGCTGAAGCTTTTATAGTCAAGGAGGTCATTTTGCCAGCAATGTTGTTTTTCCCTTCATGAGGCATGTGCCCAGTGTGGCCAAGGTCTGAGGTGCTTTTGCATGGCACAGCTGCATGGTGGCCCAGCCAGATGCCAGGGAGCTTTGTGTTGTTTCGATGTTTCTCCCCCTCCGCCAAAGGTCCAAGAGTATTAAGAGAGTGGAGAGCAGTCTTATTTAGCATAAGGCAGCTGATCGAAAACTTCCTAATATCCCTATGCTCTTTGGTATCTAAAAGATATAAACAGAAAGACAGTTTGTAAAAGTGTGTGAAAGTAAGGAAGAATTTCCTAGATTCTTGTTCTAACCTCAGATTCCTTATAGTTGTCTTGGCTAAGGTTAGACCAGTACTATGAAACGATATGGCACCAAATCCCAGACAGGAGACCATTTATTTAGGTTCATCATCCACAAGACTTGGTAACATTTGACAAGCCATTTGTTATATTAAATGTCTAGTGCAATGCCGGCGTTAGCTGAAGATGTCTGGGTAATCTCTTGTATTTCTTCATAAAACACTGTAATAAATCCAACAGTAGGTTTCAATACCTTTGCACAAAGGGAACACCCCCTCCCACCTCTCATTCCCGCTGCGTCCTCCTCCCCACCCCTAACTCATTCCCCCTGCTGGGCAGCTGGAACCGCAAACCACCAATCTTACTTTCAGACGGAAAAAACAACCTAGATCTCCCACCTGCTTTCATTTTTATTTTTTTTAATTAATTTATTTTTTATTGCAGTAACATTGGATTATAACATTATATAACTTTCAGGTGTACATAGTAATATATTTGGAATTCTGTGTAGATTACATCATGTTCACCACACAAAGACTAATTACAATCCAGCCACCTGCTTTTTAAAATGGTTTGTTTGTTTCCAGATGTCACTAGTATGAAGAATTTCCCCTAATTAATATATTAGCCTTCTCGTTGATATTAACTCAGCTCTGTTGAATATACTCTATTAAACTGACTCCATGGGTGGGAGAGTAAATCTGAATTTCTCTCTGTTCTCGGGAGACATCATATTTCCTATTATCTGAGGTTATTGTTTTGCTAGGATATCAATGAGCAGTTCCCTGCTGGAGTTATCATTGCTTCTTTCTTCCTTCAGCCCCAAACAGTTTTGAATTAACATGGAAACGAAGCTTAATTTCTTGACTCACCTCCTCTGGTTCTGGCTCTCTTTCTGTTTCATGCCACTGTAGATAATTTGGTGCTCCCATCTGTGTGTTTCCTCTGACCCTGCCGCTGATAATGTGATTAAACCCTCCACTCTGTTGCTTTTCATTTACTTTTAAATTATTTCTGGTCATGTGTGCTGTATTTTCTTCATTTAGACCCAAGGTATAATTAGGGAAGAGAGCTGAACAAAAGAGCCTGTTTTTTCTTTCTCTCACTCTGGTGTTGGGTGGACAGTGCTGTCCGGCATGTCCAGTGGGATACCAGCTGGTCCTGTCTTCTGTGACAGCCACGGGGAAGGTGCCTATCGGCGCAAATCCAGATGGGTGACGGCAGCCTGTTTACCTTACTTTGTGCTGAACGAGATTCTTCAGATATTGTGACTTTGAAGTACTGCTTCTATTTTTATTATCTAACATTTATTAGATGTCAACCGTGCTCTGTTACACACAGATAATAGCATAGTTCTGACTTGATTCAGAATCTAGAATGCTTTTGGAGTTTGGTTCAGACCTAGTGACTAAAAAAAATGTACAGTGGACAGTGTATGTCATCCTAGGGTAGGTTTTCCAAATATTGTCTATGAATCAACATTAGACCTGCCCCTGGGGGAGACATAGATAAAACAAGGCACAAAATAGGAGAGAGAGAAATAAAGTACACCGGAACTTACTTTAAAGGGAAGGTTGATTTAAAAGTAAGATTTAATTTTTGCTCTTATTTCAAGTGATAGGTTGAATTTTCTAGCTTTTTGGTCTCATCTGTGTTTTTCCTTCCACAAAAAAATATTGTGACCTTTCCATTTGGCCCAAGGCAGAAGCGGTGGCTTGGCTCAGCTAAAAAGGAAAAGCCTGGAACTTGAAGGAGCCCGAGTCTGGATTGCAGCTCACTTAACCAAGCAGTGGCAGAGCGCTGTTCCGTCAACTCTTTGTACGTCAGGTTCTACACGTATGACATCAAGGTGGCAGAGTGGTGGTTAAAACATAACAGGAGTGGAAGGGAATTTTCTGGTTTAAAATCAGGACATACAACTTGACGGCTCATAATTTACTCCTAAATAGGTTACTTTCCTATCTCTGAAATGAGGCTAACATGACTCCCAGGGCGAACAAATGTGGTGACGAGCAAATACGGTGGTGGCTGTGACAGCGCTCTGTAAACTGTGAAGTGCTGTACCAATGTTAGTTGTTATGAAGAGTGGTGGTGAGATGGACTAGGTACTTACACAATGATAGAATTGAAAAGCATCCTGAGAACTCTTACTCTCCATTTGCATATATTTATATATGAGATGTGTATTTAAACGTATTTATTCATGCCTTCAGATTTATTTTGTTTTTAAGGAACAAAGTGCAGGGGCAGCAGGGTTGAGCTGAGGACTGAAATTAGTGGGTTGACTCCTACAGAAGTGCCTCTCCATGCCTCACAGGAGAGAGGGAACTCCTGAGGGCAGGGACCTCATCTACGCACATGCGCATCCCCAGCATCAAGGACAGGGCCGGCACCTAGGAGCAATTGTTCACTAAACCCAGCTGAAGACTGAAAACACAGCCTCTTCAGGAACTTCTGTTATTAACAAACTTTCCCCTGCCCCCATCCACTTCTTTATCCAACTACCCTACAAAGCAGATCCTTGTATCATTACTGAAGAATGAAAATCTTGTCTTTGGGGGTTGAGAGAGAGAAGACTTATTTTGTATTTTGGTTATTAAATGTCTAAGTATTTATGTGTAGGTATTTTTGCTTGGGTCTACTTTTTTCCTTTTTCTTTTTCAATTTAGTTTCTCTAGTCCTCTTTCCCTGCCAAATTTTTAAGTCAGCTATATACCTCTACAGTGGGTCTTATTGACTAGTGTTTGAAAAGCAGTGCTCTCCATCAGATTGGCGGCAAGGGTAACTGGAGTCAACTTGTATCCCCAAGAACAAGGTATTACTGTGTGCTGAGCTTCACCCACGTGCTTAATGCTGGGAAATGCATGAAAGAAACCATCCTTCCTCTAGCACGAGGTGCAGTCTCCCGGGCATTAAAGCAGTAGATATATTGAGAGAGTTTTTCATCTTTACTCCACTCAGTGTTTTCATTCCTGAATGTGTATGCACGTGTGTGTTATAAGAAGTCACTTAGGGGCTGGCCCCGTGGTGCAGCCGTTAAGTGCGCATGTTCTGCTTTGGAGGTCCAGGGTTTGCCAGTTCGGATCCCGGGTGCGGACATGGCTCCGCTTGGCACGCCATACTGTGGTAGGCGTCCCACATATAAGGTAAAGTAGAGGAAGGTGGGCACGGATGTCAGCTCAGGGCCAGGCTTCCTCAGCAAAAGAAGAGGAGCACGGGCAGTAGTTAGCTCAGGGATAATCTTCTTCTTCTTCTTCTTCAAAAAAGAAGTCATTTAAAAAACAAGCAGGATGCTCATCTATTCAGATGGGTCTTATTTTGAAAGTATGGGCCTTTTATGTAAAGTGTTTCCCTTTTTTAACAAGGCTGTTAATGCTATTTAGCTACTAACACTTGAGTGTGTCAATATTACCTTTGTCAATAGAGCACTTAAGTAATAATTGCATTGCCTAGTATCAATTATCTTCAGTGCTTAAAGAAAAGTGCCCTTGAAGCTAAAGAGAAGGGCCCAAATACATAAGGCACATCTTTTACTTTCAACAATAAGTGTTACATTTCTCTAAAGACTGAAATTTCCTTTTAGCCTTGAGCCAAGGAGATAGACGGAGAATCCAAGATCTTAGAGATGGAAGGTACCTTCATTCAATCTCCTAATCCAATGCTGGAATACTGTCTATGGCAGTCCTGGCAGATGGCCATCCATCTGCTTGTATACTTCCAATGCTGGGGAGCTCATTAACTCCTGAGGCAACTCATAAATTCTTTCTTATTTGAGCTAAAATCAGCCTGTAACTTCTATCGGTTGGTCCTGGTGGTAAAGTAACCCAGGAAAGATCTTAAGTATTTGAAGACTGCTACCACATCTTCCTTTAGTCTTTTCCAAATTAAGATAGCTGGAGTCTTCTCAGTTAAGACTTTTGCCTGGAATCTGGAAGAATAAGAATGGAAATGAGTATTAAACCATGTAATACTCAATACAAAACTTCTGTTACAAGTGCAGCTAGCAGGTAAGCATCTCTCCCAGTCTTTCAAACTTGGACACAGCGCATATGTAGTACAGTTCTTGAGTGTAACCCACACCTCATTTAGCTAGGACTAGTCAGAAATCTGTCCTGGGTGAATAGAAATTCTGCTGTCTTATTCCTTTTGCTATTCTGAATTCCTTGAGAGGGATGAGCTCCTAAAAATAGTTGTGAGATAAAATTTAAAGGTTTTCCTTTAGAAGGGAAAATTAAATGTACCAGAATATAAACTTTTTGAAAGTAGATGCCATGTCCAATTTTTCTTTCTCTTCCCTATAGTGCCTAATATCATACTAGGCAGATGAAAGATGCTTGTTAAATAGCTGTTCTGTTGAGCTGAAAAAGAGAACTGGCCAACATTATGTTGAAATATATATGTATTTGGGAATGTGTGCATGTACACACACATATATATGTACACATACATACATGTACATATGCACTCACATTTTTTTATACCTTTAAATATCTTTATAATATCCCAGAGTCATTCATAATGATTCCTAGGAAGCCTTAATGCCACTGTTCAGACACAACTGTTCTCTGGATAAACTGCAGACCCACACACCAGGCTGATGTGAAAACTGTCCTTTTGTCTGGATCTCCTGAGGCGGCCGTGTGGAGAAGGCAGACCCTTCTCTGGGTCCTTCCATTGCTGAAGTCATTGTGCTTTGCTCCCAGTGGAATACGCCACCCTGTCCTTCATCTTACTGCCCCTTCCTCCTGTTCAATTGTCCTGCTTCTTTGGTTGCTCTTGTTTGCCGGGGGCCGAGGCAGCATTTGATCGGGTGTTTGACAGGGTCCAGCCGATCAAGAAGAGCCGAGGGGTGCAGGGCGCCCCTCTGCGAGAATATGAAGAGCCGGCCTTTCCCCAAGCTATGCTGAACTTTAAAAACTTGTTTTTCTTCCCTTTGTCTTATATCCCATTTTCCTACTCATGCTGTAATTTTCCAGATGGCCGCTTTAGAGAAAAGAGCTTGCTCCCCACCGCGGGATTGGTGCTGAGAAAAATATGTGACCACCTGCATAAGCCTTCAGAATATCGCAAGGGGCAAGTTCCCCCCAAAGCACATAGATAGTGGGAGAACTTTTCTCCCTAATGAGGAGTTCGTACTGAAGAGAGTATTTGGATCAAAGCAGCTGCCTCCTTCTGGTTAATGTTTTGCTCTTCCCCCAGTTTCCCTGGTGGGAGCGGATGTACCCCTTCCTCTGTGGTTGATTGGAGTGTTCCTCCATGTGTTAGTTGTTGAAAAGTGTATTGTTCCCCTGCATGTGTTTGGCAAAACATTACAGAAGTCTTTTCTTAATTGCTGAAGTCGCTTTTGTGCAGGAAAAGATAGTTAACCTCTGCCCCCCTAAAAGTTAACTCTGTTCCCTGTAAGATATTACTTATCAATGAATGTTTTGTGATTTACTCTGCAAGAACATCTGTACTCCTATATTTATCCCCTGATAAAAAAGATATAAAAACACTGTAAAAACCAGTAAAGACAGACTTGCTTTGTACTTCCTTATCTCTCTGAGAATATTTGTAGAGCTATTTCTGTACTAATCCTGAAAAATATAAAAACGACAATTGTCCACAGTAAAGACAGACTTGATTGCACCGATTCAAGTCTCACGTCCCCTCCTTCACTGCGCCAACTCCGTCTCTCCCTCAGGAACCTGGACTCTGCTGGAGCTGGACTCCGGCACTTGTTATCGGAGATTGAGAAGGCAACAGTGAAAGGGTGAAAAATATCCAACTTCCTGAGTCCTTGCTTCACACTTTACCCAGTTTGATCCAAACGAGTTTACCCCCTTCCCACAGGGATGTCTGACCAGCACCCTCCATGCAGCCTGCTTCCCTTCTGGAGCTGGGAGCCCTGAGTTTAACCCAGCTTTGCTACTTCCCTCCTGAGTGGCTTGTTTCTGTCACACGGTGACATGGAACCTGCCTAGACTGACTGTGAGATCAAGCGAGGAAAGGAGGACACGGACCCATGGAGTCCATCACTAGTCAAATGCCGCTTTGAGCAGTGAGCGTGGTACCCTCCTATCTTGGCCCTGTCATAAACCTTTACTGGTGCGGGTGAATGCCAGTGCCCCCGTTCCCACACAGGTGCAGCCAGAGAGGCAGGCCTCCAGCTCCGAGTAGGCCTGTAGAAGATCCAGGCTGAGAATTCTGGGGGTGCACCCACGCCAGTGTGTGCTAATGGTCCTCGGGTCAACCCTGGAGTTACAAAAACCACAGGGCCCTGCAGTCTGCCACCCCTCACCCAGTCTGCTGGCCTAGACTATGACCATGTCACGGAGTTAATGGATGTGAAATATCACACAGAAAATCCCCGATGTCAGATGGACAAAAACTGTTAGAAGGAGAAGGCACTGCCTCCGCGCTATGTTTTACTTGACTGTGCACGCCAAGGGGCCAGGCCCAGGATGTATCTTGCTTTCTATTTGTCTCCAGTGCCTGGCACATAAGAGGAACTGAAGATTTCTTGAAGAAGAACTAACTGCCATGGCAGCTTACCTCCTCTGCAGAGCAGAAAATGGAAACTGAGGCACATGATGGGAATGAACCAGGTTCTCACATCAGGGATGAGAGCAGGGCTGCGGAATGAGAGGTAGGTTGTATTCTGATCCAGGATGATCCAAGTTTTCATTCTCATTTCAGTGTGAGTGGTATTCTTTATGCCCAGACTAATAAAATGGAGTTGAGATGTTGGGGGGAGCAAGCCATCTTAGAGTTGTCCAGGGGAGGTGGGCCTTAACATGAGAGACGGTCTCTGCAGCCTGTAAGGCTGAGCAATGCGCTGTTGTGAGGTGTGGGGGCCATGTACGTCTAAACCTACATGCATATATGTTTGCTCGTTGCCAACACTTGGCCATACTGTCGTTAGGCAAAACCAATGCCTATTGCATCCTTTAAGGCAGGTGTAAAAATCAAAGGACAGTTCCCTTTCTAATTTCAATTCTGTTTCTAAACTGGTTCTGTTAGACGTCATCCTTTAGGAATGAACCATTTATCCCCCAAACAGGCAACAGGAAGGACAGAATTATTTTCATTTAATCTGGATTTGACTGTAGTCCTCTGGCGGGATTGCTGCACGTTAACACTGTGTGGCAACAAGGATACTCAGTCGGGCTCTTGCTTCCTTCAACCTCAAACCCCTCAGATGTGAACCCCAGCTTCAGCTTAGGTTTGTAAAGGCTTCAAGCTTACTGGGACCAATGATGTCACATTGCCAGGTAGGCTATTTCACCTGACTCATTTGGATCAACAATGGAAGCAAATGTGATTTGCAAGATTGCAGATCCCACTGCCCCTACTCCACGCTGGTTCATTCAATCAGCACATTTACTGAGCAGCTACTATACCAGGTGTTGTGCTGTTAGTATGAAACTTTTTTTAAGTCCATACTCTCATTATGAACTTGTGATGAACCTTCAAAGGGACCTTTGGAAGAGAAATGGTGGGTAAATTCTGCTTCATGGACACGCCTGTGGCAAATGCCAAGAAGGGAGGAGCTAAAAATAAACCCAGGAGAACGAGTTCACAGTCTGCTAGTGAACACAGATGTGAAACAAGTGAGTGACCAAAGTCTAATGAGTGCACGGGAAGTCTAGACACGGGAGTAGTAATTCTGTAGGGAAAGGGCCAGACATCAGGGTAGTAGAAAATTCTAGTAGGAGGAGATTCCTAAACCGAGTTTTGAAAGGTAAATATGCACTTGTGTACCTGTGTGTGTGTGTGTGAGGGCAGGGGCGGGTTCCAGGCAGAATTCCGTGGGTTAAAGGCACAGAGCATAAAATAGGAAGGGCCGAGAACTGACTGTGAGCAGTTTGGTGTTCATGGAGAACGAGATGTGTGGTAGGGGAACAGGGTGAGGCAGGAGAAGTGAGCGGGGAGCTTCTGTGCTGTGCTAGGGAGTTTGGGACTCAATTTTACCTTAAAGGCCAATAGGGGTCGTGAAAGGGTTTGAGCCGGGGCGTGAGGTGGTGAAGCGCGTTTCAGGCCCATGGCTCTGACAGTGCCTGTGCACGTGTGGGAGGGAGCCAGTCTGCAGGTAGCGAGAGCAGTGAGAAGACTGTTGCAGTAGTTTCTAGGAGACGGTGACAGGCTGATGGCATGTGCCACCCAGCAAAGTGAGGACAAGTCACCGGGTCACTTGGGCCTCAGTTGGCCCCAATTATTGCAGTGGGTTCATTATGAACTTGTGCCAAACCTTCAAAGAGACCTTTGGAAAAGACATAGTAGGTAAATTTCAGATCAAGTGTTCTTGGTGGATGCACCTGAGGCAATAATAAGACAGAAGACGCTAAGAACAAATCCAGGAGGACAAACTCCCTGCTGCGGGCTCCAGCCACCCAAGAGCTCGGGCCCTCCCGACTTACCCATGATGCCCAAGCACGCCGACCCCTGTCCGTCCAGCGCAGCACAGCACAGCAGAGGAGAGGTTCTAGGGGAGGGAGCCCCACTTCCCCACCCTTCTGCTTTTCATTCTAGGCAGCAGCCTGAGATAGCTCAGCTGGGCCAGCCTCATTCCCCTCTGACGCACCCCTGCTGTGGAATCCGAAAATGATCCGGACTGACCTCCCCTCCCCTTCCCCACCCCCAGCTGAGCCTGGGAAGTTAACTGTCCTGGAATTAAATTTTGATTGACAAGTGGCACTGACATTCAGGAGTAAAGAAAGCGGGGAGCAAGAAGTGAGAACTCCAAAAAATTCAGCAGCTGGTAGCAAAAGGAAGAGAGAAGAAAGTGGGCAGGGGACAGCCAGGCTGGCGCTAAAGGCAGGCTTCTCTGGCATTGCTGCCACCATCTGACTCGTAGAGGGCTACTTGCTTCTAGGCCCAGAGGCCTGAAGTCCGGGAAAGAAAGAGTCGTCCTTGCAGGAAGGGGAGAAACCGGGCTCTTTGTTAGGCCGCAGCCAAGGCTCCCTCCGGATGCATCCACAGTCCCTCTGATCTTGCCCTAAGCTCCTCCCACCTTCCTGTCCATAGGGTGAGCTCACCAGGCACAAGAATAAGGTGAAGCGTTTCACTTAGACGGTATTTCTCTTTCCAAACACTTAAGCCTGTACCATCTCTCGGATCGTGCATCCTTCCAGTAAAAAGGGCCCCGGGTCCAGACGTGGCACTTCAGTTTGAAGTAACCTCAGAGATTATTTAGGTCTGCAACCCTCATGTTCAGAGAGGGGGAATCTGAAGCACAGGGTTGTGAAGTTGCTTGCCTAAGGTCCCAGGGGCGGCCCCCCCCGACCCCCCCACCCCCTAGCGTGCTTTCTGCTTGGCCCCTGCTACCCTTCTGTCCATTTTGTAAATGAGGCCCAGCTGCCCGACAGAGCTGGCATCAGAAACTAGTTCCGTGTAGCCTGTTTGGGGCCAGGTGTGGTTGGCTTACAGTGATCTTAAACTCTAGCAGACTTTCTCATCTGTAACACGGGGTAGTGTCACCTCAACGCCCACCTTGCAAAGTTGATGTGAAGGTTACTGGAAGCCACGCTTGTGTAAGTGCTGTAGTCTTGGCACACAGTAGGTGCTAAATAATGTGCTCCCCAGGAGCACTCTTCAGCCCAGTGTGGAGGGCGGATGGGAAGACGGAACCCTGCCCCCAGGGCTGCAGAGAAGTGGGAAGGATGGGCGGCTTGCCCTCCCTGGGGAATGTAGTGTCAATGAACATTCCGTAGTCCAGAGACCCTCCTCTCGTGCCCAAGGTCCCCGGAGTACGTCCGGGAACAACCCTCACAGAGGATTTGATGAGGGTCTGAGGTGGTGACGGTCGGGTGTGGAGCCCAGGCCGTTGAAGGTGGGAGAGCTCTGCCATCAGACCGCGATCTGCCCAAGACAGAGACCTTGTGGGATGGCAAAGAGGAACTCATGTCTGAGGCTACCACGTGTCCTTGGGCCTCCTTCTGCAGGGACCCCATTCCGCACCTCCTCCTGAGGGCAGCTGTGCTGTATAGTAAGATGGGCACTGACCGCGTGTCAGAACCTTGGTTGCCCTCCTGGTCCTGCCACTCGGTACCGTGTTCACTTGGAGTCCTGGGCTCCTGGGCTGGCCCCTTCTCCTAGCCTCAGGGTCCACATCCGAAACATGGGGATGACAGCTCCTCCCAAGACATTTGTAGTCATAAAATAGTGCCCTGGAACGACTAAATGCGGGCTGTTTGTTGTCACCCTCCCGGAACAATTGGGTCTTTCTCTCCGCAGGAAACCTCCCGCTCTCCGCCTTGGCCCCCAGCCGATGGCGCAGTCTAGCAACTAGGCGCGCTCGGCCCTCGCGCTGTTCCCGGAAGCGCCACCAGGAGGCGCCCTCTGCCTGCCGAAGCCGGCCTGCGGGCCCTCCTCGGGCGGGCTGTGCTGCCGCTGGCGCAGGGCGGTGCAGGGCAAGGGCTGCGCCAGGGACCCCGACGTCGAGCCACCGCAGCGCGTGCACCTCGGCTCCGGCCGCTCGCGCCCCGCGGCCCCAGCCAGGCGTCTCCCGCTCGGCCGCGGGCCCCGGGGCGGCGGCAAGTTTGCCCCGACCGCTCGGCCCCGCCGCCGTCCCGCCCCTCGGGCGCCCGGCTCCGGGCGCGCGTGGCCAGGGCGAGCGGGCAAGGAGGACGTGGGGGCCGCGCGGCTTACCGGCACCTGAGGGGTCACTTGGCCGGCGGGCCCCGCCGCAGTCTCCCTGCTGCCCGCCGGGCGGCGCCCCGCGCCCGGGCCGCGCTCCTCCCGCGCTGCCCGCTCACAGCCGCCGGGCACAGACTGCCTTCAGCTGCCAGCGGATGGCGCTGGAGCCGCCGCGGCTGCCGCGGAAAAGGGAAAAACAAAAAAAGGAAAACCACGGCTCGGCGGCCGGCGGAGCACCGCCCGCCCCGGCTCAGCCCTATAGCGCGGAGCCGCCCAGGTAAGGGCAGGGCCCCGCGGCGCCCCCAGCCGGCCCCTCAGGAGCCTCCTGCGCCCCCGCGCCGCGTCCGCGCGGGGCCCCTTGCGCACGCCCCCTCCCTCGCCCGCATCCCTACTTTTGACGACTCTGCCTGTCCTTCCCTCCCGGGCCGCTGCCGGCAC